AGCCGCTGCAACTGCGGGGGGGCCTTCGGTGCCATGGAGAGGAGCCCGACTCACCTGCAAACTCATTAAAGTGGTTTCCAATGTCGAAAGCCTGGTAGTTGTAGCCAGTGTACTCGTAGTCTATGAAGCGAACGTGCTCTGCGGAGGCAAAGGCGGGGGCTGTGAGAGGGGCTGGAGCCGGAGCCGCCCGGCCCCGGGGGGGCGGGGGAGGCGGGCGAGGGACAGACCCCAGACCCCTCTGCCAGGCGCGCGAAGCTGCTGCCACGAACCTTGCGTCCCGTCGTAGATGATGTTCTTGCAGAGCAGGTCGTTGTGGCAAAGCACGATGGGGGACCCCAGCTGGGAGAGCGTTTCCTTCATCCAGGCCAGCTCGTGCTCAAGCATCTCCAGGCTGGGCACATCCTGCTGGAGGCTGGGGAAGGGGACGGGATGGAATCACTTGTGCTCACGGGGAACCTCCCTCGGGGGCAGAGGGGCAGCGTTGCCCCTTGCTTCCCTCTGTGCATTTGATAAACGAACCCATCAGCGACACAAAGCGAGGGCTAACGAGGCCGTATTTGGCGGAGAGGTCAGGTTTGGCTTGGACATCCTCCAGCGTGCTGCGTGGCAGCCAGGGCGCCTGGCAGATGCCACGGCGCAGCCTCAGCCCTTCCCCTCTCCCCGCTAACACCTGCATCCCTCCCACAAATCCACCCAACCAGCCACCGAGCCCCTCAGCGCTCGCTCCCAAAGCGCCCAACGAACCCCCAGGCAACGGGAATTTTTCGGACTCTGCCAGGGCACGTACCCTCTCGGTAACCTCCGAAGTTTCAATTCCAAGACGACAGCCAGTTAATGATTACCTAATTGGCTGCACTGAAGGTGCAGGCTTGGGTAAAGTCTGCCTGCAGCGGGGCAAGTGCTGAGAAAAGCCCTGTGTCCTGCCACCGCCGCTCAGGGAACAGGTTAATTATTCACTTGCCTCCAGGTTCATTCACCTCCACCACCTCTTGGGGCTGCCCGCATCCTTCCCAGGCACCCCGGCACTCACCTGGCATGAACCCAGGCTCCCAGAAATGGGATGAACTGGTTTGAAGTGGGAACTGGCTGCTTTAATCTATACTGGGTGTCTAGCATCCCCTCCAACGTCAGCTCAACCTTGCTGCTTGGATCCCCGCCATAAGACGGGCTTGAGCTTCAGCTTATTCTAGGGAGGGCTTAAAATGCGAGCTCGATTTGCAGGGAGGAGGTGGCGGCGGCTTATTACAGCAGGTGGGAGTCTCTGGCTCAGGCCGGATCCTGCCTGGGTGCTGTACGAGCACAGCCCAGAGCTGCCTCTGCTCTAACGCTGCTCCCAGACTGGCAGGAGGAAGGGCGCCGAAGGGTGCGTGGAGATGCCCCCGTCCCACCTGCTCCTGGGGGCTCGGCCACGAGTTTGCTTGCAGAGGGATCGCGATCCAGATGTGGCCACGTGGCCGGATCCAGCCCCGCCACCGTCCCCAGCCCCACTCACCAACCCCAGGCTCCTGCAGAGGCTTTACCGGGGACGCGGAGCTCTTCCCCCCGGTCCCATACGGGGAAGACTTAGAGATGGGTGGGCAGCGGATGCCCAAGCCAGAGCCTGGCTCTTTGGGATCCCTCTGCCTTTACCTGGGGTTGGATACCTTTGGGCTGAGATCCGTCTTCACGAGGGTGAGGTATTTGTGCAGCTTCTGCCAGAGGATGGGCTTGGGGAGGCTCCCGTTGGCGTGGATGGCGTGCACCCGGGCCATCTCCCGGGCCACCAGCCTGGAAGGAAAGGCGGATGTGCAGGTGAGAGGTGGGCGCGCAGCAGCGTTCCCGAGAGGAGAGCTCCTCAAAACCAGCCTTGAGACATCTTGAGGGGGTTTCCCCGAAAGCCATGTTTAAAAATGCAGGGTCAGCACAGCTGAAACTCCCCTCCCACTTCAGCTGCGAGCCTCTGAAGCATTTCAAGACCTGGTCTGGGTCAAAAGCAGCATTCACCTTTCCAGGGCAAGTTCAGATAAAAGCTGTGGTTCCCATGCAATCTCTGTTCACCAAAAGCTGATGCTTTAAAAACACGGTGGTAAACCTGGCTGCAGTTTGACCCATTTACCCCCCAGCACCACCCAGGTTTGTGCACATCAGCGATGCTCGAGCACCGACCTGGAGCAAAGGCAGCGAGGGGGAGAGCTGGAAACGCGGAGCAAACCCCTCGCCGGTGCCCCCATCCCACACTTCCTCCCCTGACCTGCACACCTGAAGATGTGGGGGTCCCGCACGTGGTCGGGCCCCAGCGCGATGCCCGGCAGGAACTGGTAGCAGAGCCCGTTCTGGAAGGCGCAGTAGAGGTCGGGAGCGCAGCCGTGGGCACGCAGCACCTGGAAGTTCCTCAGCTCCGTCTCCCGGTCCACGAACAGCTCCGTCTTCCTGCCGTAGACA